AGCTAAGGCTTGGTTTATGACACTTGCTCCAGATTCTCTTACCACTTGGGAGCAAGTGTACTCAAAGTTCATCGGGAGGTATTACTCCCACCAGAAAACCCAAGAGTTGCGATCCCAAATTGTCTCTTTTGCCCAACAACCGCACGAGCCACTTCACGAAGCGTGGGAACGCTTCAAGGACCTACAGAGACAGTGCCCACACCACAATCTTCCTCCGACCCTTTTGATGAATGGCTTCTATGATTCTCTCCACCAGAACCTTTAGTACATGGTGGACAATGCAGCTGGTGGAGACATTGGGGCGAGAACAGCGGAGGACATGATGGATATTTTTGAGGCGTTAAGTTCTAGCTCGTCTCAGAAGAGCAGTCGAGGAAAGAGAGCGGTGGTCAATGAAGTATATTCGGGACGAGACATGATGGCCCATCAGATAGCCGAGCTGACGGAGCAAATGCGGTTAATGAACGCTCGGACAATGCAGCCAGTACAAACCATGGCAGTGGACACATGCGGGGCGTGTGGAGCCCAAGGGCACCGGTCAGAGGTGTGCCCATCGGCATTCGATCAGGACCTTGGAGAGCAATATGCCGACGTCAATGCTCTTCAAGGATATCAGAACCGTCAGCCCAACGACCCCTTCTCGAATACTTACAATCCAGGGTGGAAAAACCACCCACACTTCTCGTGGTCCAACAACAACAACACTCTCCAGCCACCTCGTCCAAATTTCAACCAACAGCAGCCTCGACCAAACATCATGCAACAGCAATCCCGCCCCAACTTCATACCCCGTCCGAACTACCAACAACAACAACAACCCCAACAGCCAGCCCAAGGGTCCGGTTCAAGCTCGTCAAACCAAGATGACAAGCTGGACAAGATCCTTCAGTTTATCACCAACCAGGACTCATCCATTAAGCGTCTCGAGACGCAAGTGGGTCAGCTCGCCACAAGAGTCGAGAACATGGAAGCCGAATCCGACAAAGGGAAACTTTCGAGCCAGCCAGAGCAAGCCAAAGCAATAACCGTGTTGAGGAGCGGTAAGGAAGTGGATAACAAATTGAGAATGCCCGAGCCCGACGACCCCAAGCCAACCGACCAGCCCAAAGAAGCAAGGGAGAATGCAAAGAGCAAGGAGGCCGACGTAGAAAAGCCGGCGGATGGCTCAATGTTGCACAAGTCTCCAAACCCATACAAACCACGCATTCCTTTCCCAAGCCGACTTCGAGATGAGAAGCAGGAGCAGCAATTCCAGGACCTATACAAGATGCTCTCAAAGGTCAATGTCAACCTACCACTTCTAGACGTGATCAAGAACATGCCATCCTATGTGAATTTCTTCAAGGACATAGTGACGAAAAAGAGGAAATTTGTAGATGGAGAGAAAGTGGTGGTCTATGAGGCGGCGAGTGCCATTCAACATGATCTCCCGAAGAAAGAGAGGGACCCCGGGGGTTTCATGATAAAGATTGCCCTCGGGAACGGGAATGAAGCTTCGGGGATGCTTGATCTCGGAGCGGGAATCAATCTCATGCCATTCTCTATCTTCCAGAGGCTCGGTCTAGGAGACTTGAGACCCACCCGTATGTGCTTACAGCTAGCCAACCGTTCAATCAGATACCCCAAGGGGGTAGTTGAAGATGTCCTTGTTCGTGTCGGGAAGCTCATTGTCCCAGTAGACTTTGTGGTACTGGATGTGAGGGACGTTCACGAGAACGGGAAGGACCACACTATCCTTCTCGACAGGCCGTTTATGGCCACCACCAACACCCTCATTGATGTCAAGAACGGGACCTTGAACATGACGGTCCTAGGCGAGTCCGTGTCTATCTCTGTCCGGGAGGCCACATCTGGCCCTTCGGCGAACTATGTGGAGGAGTGCGCCTTTGTTGATGCGAGTGACTCGTTTGTGGAGGAGATTGCCGTTCGAGATTTAGAAGAGAGATTTATGCCTGATCTTGAGGATGAGGAAGGACTGTTTATTGAGCTGATGGAGGTCGAAGAGTCGAGATTGATAGTCCCACCAGTACTAGAGTTGAAAGAGTTGCCTCGTCACCTCAAGTATGTCTTCCTTGATGATGAAAAGAAAAAGTCGGTTATCATCTTCGCCGAACGAAACTGGGAAGAAGAGAAGGAGCTGATTGGGGTACATAAAAAGAATCAGAAGGCCATTGGATGGAGTCTAGGCGACATAAAGGGAATTAGCCCTTCCACATGCATGCACTGGATCATTTTAGAGGAAGGTGCCAAACCATTTCGGGATAGCCAGCGGCGGCTCAACCCGAACATGATGGAGGTAGTAAAGAAGGAGGTGCTAAAACTTTACTCCGAGGGCCTCATTTATCCGGTGAAAGATAGTGAGTGGGTCAGCCCCATTCATGTGGTGCCGAAGAAATGAGGCATCACGGTGATCGAGAATGAGAAGAAAGAGATGGTCCCCACCCGTATCACTACAGGGTGGCAAATGTGCATTGACTACCGGCGACTCAATGCCGTGACCAAGAAGGACCACTTCCCGTTGTCGTTCATTGATCAAATTCTCGACCGACTCTCGGGCCACCAGTTTTATTGCTTCCTCGACGGACTCTCGGGCTACTACCAAGTAGCCATAGCTCCAGAAGATCAGCCCAAGACGACCTTCACGTGCCCCTTCGGCACATTTGCTTTCAGACGGATGCCTTTTGGCCTGTGCAATGCACCCGGGACCTTCCAACGGTGCATGTTCTCCATATTCTCCGACATGCTCGAGGATTGCTTACAGGTATTTATGGATGACTTCTCTATCTTTAGCACCTCATTTTCCGATTGTCTCCATAACTTATCTCGTGTGCTTGGGAGGTGCATTGAGTCTAACTTAACATTGAGTTGGGAGAAAAGTCATTTCATGGTGACTAGTGGAGTCGTGCTTGGTCATGTAGTATCGAGTCGGGGGATTGAGGTTAACAAAGCAAAAGTTGATGTTATTGAAAAACTTCCCCCGCCTGTGAATGTAAAAGGTGTTCGAAGCTTTTTGGGTCATGCTGGCTTTTACAGGCGATTTATTAAAGATTTTTCAAAAATCAGCCAGCCCTTGTGTCACTTGCTTGCTAATAATGTGCCTTTCGTGTTTGATGATGCATGTTTAGATGCTTTTGATATATTGAAAAATAAGCTTGTGACTGCTCCTGTTGTGATTGCACATGATTGGTCTTTGCCATTTAAGATTATGTGTGATGCATCGAACCTTGCTGTGGGAGCCGTTTTGGGCCAACGAGTTGATAAATTACTTCGTGTAATTTATTATGCTAGTTTGACCTTGAATGGTGCCCAATTGAATTATACGACCACTGAAAAAGAACTTTTAGCCGTTGTATTTTCCCTTGAAAAATTTAGATCTTACATTTTGGGGTCTAAGGTAATTGTGCATTCTGATCATGCGGCTCTTAGGTATCTTTTGAGTAAAACTCAATCGAAACCTAGGCTTATTAGGTGGATTTTGTTATTGCAAGAGTTTGATGTCGAAATTCGGGATATGAAGGGTTGTGAAAATGTTGTTGCTGACCACTTGTCTCGCATTGTTCCTTCTGATCCTTCACTTGCATTGCATGAGCAATTTTGTATCAATGATGATTTTCCATATGAGCATGCAAGTGAAGTAACTAGTGTTCCTTGGTATGCAGACATAGTGAATTATCTATCAGACGGTGTTTTGTTGGCTAACTTCTCTTCCCAAGAAAGGAAACGTTTTTTGTTGATGTGCAGGAGCTATTTTTGGGATGACCCATTCCTTTTCAAGATAGGAAAAGATGACATTCTACGGAGGTGTGTGCCCGAGGAAGAGCAATTGAATGTCCTTACCTTTTGCCACGAGCTTCAGTGTAGGGGACATTTTGGAGGTCGAAAGACCGCCTTTAAAGTCCTCCAATCAGGTTTGTTTTGGCCAACTCTCTTTAGAGACGCTCATAGTTTTTGCAAATCTTGTGATAGATGCCAAAGACTTGGGAACATTGGTCCTTGGAATGAAATGCCCCTTGTGAACAATTTACAAATTGAAATTTTTGATGTTAGGGGTATTGACTTTATGGGACCATTTTCCATATCTTTTGGCTTTGAATATATTCTTCTTGTTGTAGATTACGTGTCCAAGTGGGTTGAGGTCATCCCCACACGAACATGTGATGCTAATGTGGTTATCAAGTTTTTGCGAGGACATATTTTGAGCAGGTTCGGTTTTCCACGGGCTATTGTGAGTGATGGAGGGAAGCATTTTTGCAACCGTGTC